AGGGAGCCCCTAACTCTAATGTGATTTTCAAATATCCATTCCAAACACAAGTTTTTCAAAAACATTTTTAAATTATTTTTAATTTTTAAAAAAATTATTCATTTTAGCAGGCACAAGCCAGGAGTGGTGACCCACACCTGTAATCCCAGCACTCGGGAGGCTGAGGCAGGAGGATCGCTGTGAGTTCGAGACCAGCCTGGGCTACATAGTGAGTTCCAGGTCAGTCTCAACTACATAGTGAGACCCTGTCTTAAAAGAAAAACAAAAACAAAAAAACAAGAAAATTAATTAGGGCCGGAGATTTAGCTCAGTGGTTCATTCGCTGGCCTCGCTAGCACAAAGTCCCGAGTTCGATCCCCAGTACTAAAAACAAAAACAAAAAACCCACCCCACAAAAGCCATGTTAGCACAGGGCATGGTAGTGCACACCTGTTATCCTAGACCCCAGGAGGCTAAGGCAGGAGGATGGCTGAGAGTTTGAGGCTACACAGTGAGTTCGAGTCCAGCCTGAACACCCTGTCTCAAGCGACTTCTTGTCTCAAAAATACCAAATAAGTATATAAATAAATATAGAACACATTAGAACACAAAATTGAACTAACCATAAAACATAAACAGAAGGGACAAGAACAGAGACATCTACGTCAAACTGCTGGTGGACAGAAAAACTCACTGAAGTGCTAAATAATTAGGAAGGCAGGGAGCCAAGAAAGGCGGCAGCGGAGAACTGGCTGAGGTCCCAGGGACAAGCCGAGCAGCCCCGAGGCGGTGAGGTGCAGGCGGGGCCAGGGAAGGGGCGTGGTCCGGGCAGAAGACCCAAGCTGTGGCCCGCGAGATCAGTTTCCAGTGGGTTCTGTTTTCTGACAGCTCTGAATTCAGCGAGGCAGACGCAGCAGATGGGGCCTTGGCCATTGTGCAAGAAAGAATCTGCACTGTGTCTGTGGGATGCTCGAGACCCTTCTGGAATCGTGAGGCAGCCGGAGAAATGACTTGCATGGTGCAGAAACCCTCACACACACTGGCCTTGCTTCTCTGCAGAGCCAACAAGCAAGTGGGAAAAGTTCTGGAGAGGAATAATGGCTAATGCTTTATACACGAGGGCAGCTTCAGTGAAGCAAGTTGAGTGCATTTTTCAAAAAAACTAAACAGAGGATTCTGAACAATCCCATCCAAAAAAAAGGTAAATGTCTGAGGTGACAGATACCCAGTTTCCGGTGTGATAGTTATGGGATACAGGTATTGAGATGTTACAGTGTCAATTAAAAATTAGCCCGGTGTGGTGCACACCTGTAATACCAGCACTCTGGGAGGCAGAAGCAGGAAGATCACAAATTCAAGCCCAGCCTTAGGAAGACCCTGTTTCAAAATAATAGAAAGGGCTGGAGGGGTAGCTCACTGAAAAGTGCCCCAAGTTCAATGCCCAGTACTGAAAGAAGTCAAATTAAACTAAATTGTAATCTACTATCTTGTACATTAGTCATTTATTTATTTGTTGGTTTGTTTTGGCACCAGGGATCAAATTCAGGACCTCACACTTGCCAGGCAAGTGCTATGCTACTGAGCTACATCCCCTGGCCATATATTGGGCAATTCAGAGCATGACAATAACAGCTGGCAAATGCCTGGGGTTTTCTTATAAGGAGAAGGAGGAGAAGGAGGAGGAGGAGAGGAAGAAGAAATAGAAATTTTAAAGCCTCCATTTAGAACACAACAGGTTTTAGGGGTGGAAGAATGCGATGCCCCTCCAAGCCCCTGCCCGGGGCCCTTGCCTCCCCAGTGTGTTCCCATGCAGACGCAAAAGTGACCCAACCTGAAGAAACTCCTGCAAACCTCGTGAAGTGGACAGACAGCCTGAGAATGAGAGTCTGGAATTAGCTGGCGACACTGATCCATCCTAAAGGACAAATCAGACATGGAAGTTCAGCTCTTGCCAACTTTGAACTGAGAACAGAGAAGTGGGCAGATGTCCCTTGCCCGCTGCTGGTGGCCAGCAGTTTCTGTCCCGAGCCCAGATAGAGATGGAGGAGGTGACCAGACTCGTGGGGAGAAGCCCAAGAGAAGGCAGCCTGAGTGAGACTGGGGACACTACCACAATAAGACAGTGAAGATCTGCATCTATTTGGTCGTCACCACGCAACAATAGTCAGTGTCCAGTGAGGGGCTGTGGATTTAGCTCAGTGGTTCCATCGCCTGCCTCGCAAGTGCAAGAACCTGAGTTTGATGGATCCCTGGTACAAAAAAAAAAAAAAAAAAAAAAAAAAAAAAAAA